GACAATTTACTGACCTACGAGGCGTTTACTCGACAATAGCAAGCAATCAACTGACTTTAATAGCGAATATATTAAGTAGCTAATAATTATCAATCAATGTCAATTATTTATTCGTCGATTGAAAACTCACTCGAGGAAAGAAACACGCGCACTATTTACTAACACACGACGATTTACTGATACACAAGGCGTTCACTTGACGATAGCAAGCAGTCGACTGATGTTATTTTATGGTTATGTTTGCAACGTTACAGTCGAAACGTGATATGTGATTAGTTGAAGTCAGTCAACTGTTTGCTATTGTTGAGTGAACGCCTCGTGTGTCAGTAAATTGTCGCGTGTTTCTGTCTTCAAGTGATTTTTCAGTCGACGAATAATTAATTAACACGAATTGATATTAATTAAAAGATAAATTTGATATTAAAATTAGTCGACTGTTTGCTATCGTCGAGTGAACGGGTCGTGTGTTAATAAATTGCCGAGCTATTAGGGTTTTATGCTGTTTGGGTTATATATCCATACGGTTATTCGGATTTATTTGAATTGACAACAATATGGATTAGAATATAATGATTTCAGATTGAAAATAATCCGCAAAAGTAATATTAAAACCAATTATAATTCGTTCGAAATTAAACCGATTACTTTTTAACTCGGACGCGGATTGAACCGATTAAAACGGATTACGTTTTAATCGGTTTTAATCGAACATTTTCAGCAGGGTTGGCACGTACAGGTTCAGCAGACACAGAACAGCTTGTAAATAAACAGATCTTAATACGGCTTTCCCAATAAATAATCTCAAACTTTAAGTCAAATATTTTTATGAACTAAATGATTAATTTTATGTAACATTCATAAAAGTTATTTAATAAGACATAGATTAGCTGAGTAAAAAGTGCACGGTTAGGTTAGGTTGTAACCGGACTTCGGTTCAACGCAACGAAAAGATCGAATTACGCGTATTACTTTTTCGGCTATCGGACAACGAATCACGAAGCCCTCAATTTTTGCAGGCCCTTGTGATTCTTGCAAATATTACTTTACTTTACTGCTCAAAACTTTAACAGGCGAGTACCGACTTTACCAATTAATAAACCGTGTGTGTTTTTAATAGAATTATCTTACTTTTTCGGTCGCCACCTTTTGTTTGACCTCAGAAACAAGGAAGGTATTTCTCGGGAAGCTGCCGTCGGACGTCCTTCCTTCGGATACGCTGCTCGGTCTTACGTCTTCCTGTTTTCCTCGGAAAGCGATGTATTCGATGCGCAAGGCATGCAGGTACGACGCAGGAACAATTAATCGGGTGAACGCGCTTTTAATTTATCAAATAATGTTTATTATAAACGGATATACGCGCACTCGTTCACTCGCTCCGCATTCACACAAAGATGTCGGAATTACAAACGCGACGCGTTTCGCGGACCACGCGCGTTACAAGTAATTCACGACGGTTTGCAAACGAAATCGGAACCACGATTACTCAAGCGGATTCGACGATAACGTTCGCGATAAAAAAAAATTCGCTTCCGGGTTTATATTTCCGATGCTCAGCAATTATTGCTATCTACGGCTATCGGATTTGACGAGATTTATTGGATTTCGGTGAACCCGACTCGTATTATCAATTACCCCACGGGTCTTCGCGCTCTCGCGGAATTATTCGCGTCGCGTATCGCGATTCGCGTACTTTATAAAATAACGACGGCGGTTTTATCACGCGGCCGGGACTTCGTCTTGCTCGTTTCGCGTCCGAGAGACTAAATGACCCCGAGCAAGGCGCGAAACTTCCGGACGTGCCGGATAGCAACGCTCCTCCCTCGGAAAAAGAAAACATGGCTATCTTTGATCAGCCAATAAACTGAATCTTGTATCAATCCGCGGGATCCGCCCTTCTTTCAGGCGCGGATATTTTTACGCGCGTCGCGGTGACGTCGCGTCTGACCAAACGCCGCTGACGTTACTCGCTCAGTAGTCTGAGCGGCTCGAAGTCCCGACGTTCTTCACACGGGCTCTCGGGTATAGAAAATCGTATGTCCCATAGTTACCTCCGGAGTGGTTTTACCATACCCACTCGCGTTTACCACCGGATCGCGGTAGTTACCTTCCGAGAGACCGCGTTTTATCTCCGGAACGTCGTCTTGACCTCCGGGTATCGCATTGTGGCGGATTGTGAGAGAATTACAATGAATTTGGTATCACGCTCGGAACTGTGACGAAATGTGGTACATTCGTCAGAAACTAACTGAAAATGTTATCAACAAAATATAATGTGACAGATTGTGGTACAATGAACTGAAATTAATAATAAATGACTTCCCTCGCGTGAAATGTGGTACGAACTTATTAAATTAACTGAAAATGCTTCTCTCAATATAATCAGCTGTGGTAGAATATATACCACAAATAAAACTATAATTTACTTTTTTCACATCATTTGTGATTAATCTCTTGTATTATCGTATTTTCAGGTAACCCTTTTTGCTTCTACTTGTGGTACAACTTAAAAGGTAAGTATTAAACTCAGAAATTTGTGACTCAAACTGATTTTTAACGCTTTCTTTTTATGTTTTAGGTTCCTGTGACTGGTTTTCTGCGGAATGTGGTAGGTTTCATCGCAGGTAAGTATGTTTTTATAATTTGTGATTAACTTTTAATAATAACGCATTTTTATTCTATAAACGCAGGTACAAAGTAGGTTCGACTAGTATCGAAAGAATATAACTCAAAATATGTCTCGCTCATACATCATCACACTCTTCACTCCGTGCGCTTACAACAAATAAAATGTGGTAATTAATACAAAATATGTTTCTTGAGCCTGTATCAAAATACAATGTAAAATAATAAAATGTATCGGGAAACATAATCACTTATACTATAATGTTTTACATGCAACTTGAAATTATAACTCACGTATCACTATTTTTCCGCGACATCATAAATCGCTCACAAGAAAATAAAATAAGATAAGTCAAGATAAAATATATTAAGAATATTATGACGCTCGCTATCGCGTTTTTTAACAACATGTTTGCTTACTGCAATATTTCTAATATTGACTCGGCCTCAGGTACCGGCCCTTCGTTCATTGTGTTATTTTGAATGGGTTGCGCCACATTCGGCGCTGTCAATGGCGCTCCTACACCTGTTTCAATGTCTCTCACTATCTTCTCAATGTCGTCGGCACTGTCCCGACGCTCGGTGTTGACGCTCGCTCCGATGTGCGTATCGTCCGAGGATATCTCCTCAAAGGTCGGCTCGGATGAACGTTGCGGCTCGTCCGCTGGTGTTGCGGCGACGTTTTCGCCACAAACTGGAACCGGGAGCTGGAAAGGTTCCGGTTCCAAAGTTAGATTAGGTTAGGTTGCGTCTTTTTCTTACGGCGTTGTTTGGAGAATGACGTAATGGCGTGGCCGGCATGGCACTAGGGTACTATATTAAGCTGCTATTAATTTTTATAATGTAATACAATTAATGATTTTTTAAACAGTATTTATACATATGCTAAAGCAAATATACTGCATTATAATAAATATGATTTAACCTAGACAATGTATGCCTGAAAGACGTCTTAAAGACATCATAAAGAGGTTTTTAGATATACATATTGTCTGGGAAAATGTCTTAAAATAATCATAAAAAAGACGTCTTTAGGATTTTACTTAAAGTCGTCTTAAAGACGTATTTAGGATTTTACTTAAAGTCGTCTTAAAGACGTATTTAGGATTTTACTTAAAGTCGTCTTAAAGACGTATTTAAGTAAAGTCTTAAAGATGTCTTTTGGACGTCTTTGAGACATACTGCTGTCTGAACTATTTATTGTCATATTTATTAATCTTGTTATGTGTAGTTTCCATTTGTGCAATAATCTTAGGAAAAGGTGGTAATTGAATCCCTTCATCATCGGTAGCATCATCACTGCTTGATATCTTTTTCTAAGCTCTATTCTTTTGAGATTTTTTTAATTTTTCACACCTATCACTCTCCGAATTTATATCTGATTCCATTCTTCTTATTTCTGCTCATCTCATTATTTCTGCTTTCTTTAATTTTATCCCTTTTTACATGTTTCTAAAATATAATTAGTATTGATTTTGTATTTATGTACATACATACACATGTATACATATACATACATACATACGTAAAAGATGTTTATTTTATTTATGTTATTTACTTGCAATAGTTATTATTTTTTTGACATCATATAAATGCCAATTAATATAATATGATATGCGCTTTTGCACAGCTTTTGTAAATTTTGCATATGAAGTAAACTGAGGCCGACGAGCAGCAGTTTTATTCTCGGTTAAGGCGATGCTGGAAGATAAAAATTACCGACATTTGCATTCTAATGGATAACTCCGAAACGACTGAACGGATTTAAAAACGCTTTTACAGGATTGAAATGGACATAAAATGTCATCGCGCTAGGTATATACTGTCTCTTATACACA